TATTCCAGTATTGAAAGCTGTACTAAAGCGTGCAGTACAGTACAGTACCGAGAGCCGTGCTGCCAGTACAGTATATTCCAGTATCGAGAGCTGTACTGGAGAGTGCAGTATTTTTATTCCAGTATCGAAAGCTGTACTAAAGCGTGCAGTATTTTTATTCCAGTATCGAAAGCTGTACTAAAGCGTGCAGTACAGTATATTATGGCCAAAGGTACTGCAATACTGAAAATACTGGCAGTATTGTACTGTACTAAACCTGCCCGTGCAAATATTTGACAGTTTCGGACCCAAAATTTTTCCGAAATAAGGAAACATATTTTGAGTGAAGCCGCCGTTCTGAGGATCGCTCCTGATAATCTCGCCAGAGCCCATAACAAGGAAAAAATTACAGATTCAAGAGCCGAGGGAGGCTTGACTTGCGGAATTTTTTTCACGATTTTTCGATTTAGCAACTTTCTTCGAAGTATCACATCACACGCACCACCGCACGCACACACAGCATTGTGCTGAGAACATGTCAGCGCGGCCGAAGAGAAGGCCGGCGCCCAGCGAAAGGCCTTGGAGTTGGCGCGCCACCAACACAAAAACAGGGAGGCTGCACGGTCAGAAAGTTGGTTTGTTTCCGGCTCGCTTGAGGTCAGCAACACGAACGTCAGATTGAGGCAAGGGGGAGGGAGCGCACGAACCTAGAGGTGGTGGCAACGCCGCCAGCAAAGAGGAAGCGCAGAGAGGAGGAAGAGCACGTAGTGGCCTTCTGGTGAAGGCGGGCGCGTCCTTCCGCGCGCAAGAGTATCGTCTCTGGTGTCTAGAAAGAAGAGCGTTTGACTTGGATGTGCCTCCCGGTCCCAACCCCCCCGTCGCTCTCCCGAACGCTTGAAACGCGACATAGCACTTCGTTCAGAGGCTGTCGTCGGCCAGTGTATAGTAATCACTTCCTATCTTCGTACTGGTGTGGTGCGATTTCGTGTGCTGGGGTCGAGGGAGCGACGCAGACACGGGCATGCGCACGCACGCACGCACACTCAACAGCAGCAGCAGTTAGAGCCCCTTGTCATCAGGCAAGGTGCACAGCTAGCTGTCACGTAGCGCACCACGAAAAAACAACAGCACCTGCGGATAAGGGAAGTTCGTGGGAGGATTGTTGACCCACAGCCAATCACATGAAGCCGCTTTAATCTGAAAAATTTCACCTGCACGGAGTTTCCAGGAAACTTTCTTATATCAAAATCTGGTTCCCTTAACCGGAAAATTTGGAGCCCAAGTCCGAAACTGTGTGTGTATTGTATGAATAAACGACTGCAATATTGTAAACGACAGCTTCAAGTCTACTCGTGCCTTACAATACTGTAGACGAAAGGTCCTCGGCGTGCGGGACTTCTCGTTTACACTACTCTACAGCATACCCCCCGGCTCAACCTCTAGAGAAAAATGCATACAAGTAGCCACATCCAGATAACACGATATGCGCCTTCCTTTGTGTTCGTCCTTTTTTTGCATGGCGACGGCAATCCCCACATTTTTCGTGGTGAGATATAACTTACACGTGTTTCAGTGAATGTAGAGCACTTTTCAGTATATTTTGTCGTACAACTGTACAACCATGCCGGGGGTCACAGAGAAAGGGTAAAAAATGTTGGTAAATAACGGCGCCGTTTGTTCAATATTCATCCGCAACATTACCAAATGATCGACAATTGAAGGGTTCTTGCCAGCTATGGCAATAATAAATCCATCATATTAAGGGACAATCGAGAATATATTTCGGCGTGCGGAGCCCCGACCTGAGCACATGCATCAAGAATACCGAAGACATCGTGGAGCAGCGGCATGCGCATTAGACGCCCAGATCTGCTGCTGGAGCCTTGCTGGTGAATGCTGCAGCAGCGTCTAGGCCTGTCCTCCATCGGCCGTTTTGCTTGTATGACGGAGAATAAGAAGGTGGAATTACTTGAAATTAGTATAGAAATAAAGTTTGTGTATCTAAATCGAAAATAAAACGGCCGATGGAGGACAGGCCTAGCAGCGTCCCGAAAGTCCAAAAAACACCCGAATCCATATCATTCTATCTGTAGATCCACTGCTTCACATCATGTCACAGACACAGCCACAAACCGCTTGTCTTCAGCAGCGAGGGTACCTCACACCACTTAGCCGCCTTGGCTATCTGCAGCTCGAGGGGTCGTGAATGGTGGACCTACATGTAGACTTGCGGACTGTTGGGACCGCAGTTATCTGCAGATTCGACAGCACGACCCCAGCAACAGATCTGAACGTGTCAACGCGCACGTCCCTGCTCCATGACTATCTCTACTCATTTTTTTGCTCAGGTCCGGACTCCGCAACACAATTTACATTCTTCGAGCAGTTGCCGTGTCGCCCGTTTTCATTGAATTGGTGGATTTTTTTACTGGTTTGATAGAAGGTGTGTGGATATTGTCTATGTGGTATGCCTATGGAGGCAAGCCCCGACCGCTGTTCTGTGACACCTCAAGGAGGTTCCCTTGCGCAACGCGTTCCGACCAGTCTCGCGTTGCTTGTTGGGTGCGTTCTTTGCCGATTCCGACACCAGACGAAATCAAGGTCGGTGGGCAAGATGTCCGTAAGGGACGCATCAAGCTCCATGTCTACATTGCATCGGAAATTAGTGTCGATGGAGTTCGTGGAGCAATATTCTAGGTGGTATCACAGCCACATTGATTGCATGTTTTTGGAGCGTTTGTTGCAGGCTGATTGTTCTATTCTACAACTGCTGTAGACGCAAGTTCCCCCACGTGTGGAGCTCCCCCCTGCCACTATCCCCCCTGCTAAACCTCAAGAGATATCTGCTGTACTGTGGCCACTTGCAGATACGACGACGTGCACCAACGTCTACGAAAAGCGTGTGGAAAACGGTGCCGATCTTTCTCAATATCATCTGCAACAACTTGCGACTGATCGGCAGCAAGGACGGGGTGTATTTGGTTCATCTGCTCTAACAATAGACAGGATTCCTGCATATCTTGATTTCCAAAGTCAAAATCCATTACGAATCTACCATCGCGTCGCAACGGCCCGTAGGCATCGCTGGTTTACAATGCTGTAGCGTACATTGTGTCCTTGAGATGCCGTACCGATTTGCGGTCCGCAATGTTCGAGCAATCCTGATATTATCGAGTTCGGTGAGCTACAAGCAGAATTGTTGAAGCTGCTGTGCGGTCCAATTTTCGAACGCTGTAGCAACAATACCTCATGACCAGACCTGCATATACATGGCCTCAGGCTTTCAGATTGACTAAGGCGACAAATAGAAAGCATCAGGGAAGAACTGAACTGAAGCTCGCGGTCCCACACACTCACATTGGTCCCCCGATCCGCGGTCATTGTGTGCATGAAGCGTTCGGTACTAGACCGCACAGCTGCTTCAATAATCCTGCTTGTATTACCGAACTCGATGAAAACATCGTTTTCAAAACCGTGGACCGCAAGTCTGTCGTGCATGACGAGGGCTTCAACCTTACCAATTAAAATTGTGCACCGGCCACTTCTGCAGGTGATTACGGTGCGGTGATAGATTCAAACTAGATTTAGAGTTCGGAAAACCAAGATGTGCAGGCGGTTCCTGATATTTTCAAGGGCAAGCCTGCCAACTCCACCGCGCCCATACGTTCGGGTCCTGATATTTTCAAGGGCAAGCCTGCCAACTCCACCGCGCCCATCCGTTCTTACCAACTAGACTATGACAATCAGTTTCTAGTCAAAATGAAGCACTATTGGCAGGCCAACATTCGAAAATATGCTTGTGGCTTGCGAAGTCACGACCAGAGCACTGTAACACTGGAAGACATCATGGAACAGCGGCATGTGCATGAGACGCGTAGATCCGTTGCTGGAGCAGTGCTGGCAAACATTGCAGTAGCGGTCCCAAAAGACTGAGAAATGCCTGAGTCTATACCATTCTATATCTGCCGCTGTACAAACTGCTGACCTACAGTGGTGAGTGTACCTCACACCGCTAGCCGCCTTGGCTACAAGCAGGGCGGGGGATCATGAATTGGTGTACCTTTCGGACCGCAGCTATCTGCAGCCTTCGACAGCACGACCCCGGCAACAGGTCTTGATGTGCCAACCCTTACGGCGCTACTCCTTGACTTCCTCTACTGAAAGTGGCTCAGGTTGGGAATCCCCAACGGAAGTACATAAATAGCACTCGCCGTGTCACCCGTTTTCAGTTGGTTTGAATGGAGAGGTATTGGCTCGATCATCGAGGTACCGAGATCTGCTGTGAATGGACTGGGTTGTTCCGATACTTTTGAAAACAAAAATGTTTTGGAGAAGCAGCAATATGAATCATCGGAGGCGCGGAGCGACAGGGCGAGGGACCTCGCTCCATGCCTCCCCCCCGTGGAAAGGGGTTCTGTCGAAGGAAAAAGATATTTGGCTCCATTTCCCTTGACAATGCACCGAACGTTCATCCGTACTAGCCGTGACTTACATTTCGATAAACTCCTACACAAACAAGACTATGGCCCCCGAAAAATGACAAAAAACAGGATGGTCTGCCGCGGATTTATTTCCGGTCAAACTCCAGCAGAGAGCTTTTTCTCAGCGAGCTCGAAAAAAGAAAAAAAAACTGTAACGCGGCCATTGACAGTCCACCGGCAGCAACAACGGAAGCAAAGAGAAACTCGAAACGGAGCAAGAAAACGACAACAAATGCACGAAGAAACTGACAACACATGCACGAGGGAGGTGCCGGCTAGGGATACCTCTCATCGGTTTTCTCGTCTACATCTCATCTTGGTTCTGTCTGGGATGGTTATGCTGCGGTCATGATCGGAGCGCTGGGATGACACCGCGTGATGTGTCCTAGGAAAGAAAATAATTTCTGGATGGGGGGGAAGCAGAACTACCGTGATGGAAACAGGTGTCTCCCTCAGAACGGGTTGCGTGAGTAGATCGTGTTTGTTTCTCGCCGCCAAAGGGCACAAACATTCCGGGGTCCTTGAGCGAACATGATCATGGCCTGGTACACATTCGATAGCTTCTCTGCGCGTGTTAGATACAGCCACCCTCTTTGTGTATTTGTATAGCCAACACGCACAGAAACGAAGTAATGTGCAAAACATCGGGAATAGATCCTAAAATCATCGTCTCTATTTTCATATTCCGAATCCGATTAAATTTGTTCCGATTTAATCGCATAATGATCCGTTCCGATTCATGTTCCAAGTGGACTGTGGAAGGCCAGGGGTTTGATGCCTTGCTTGATCCCGTGTCAAACACGTTTTTTCTCTGCGTGGACGAAGTATGTAAGATCGAATGCAGCGAGGCTCTCCCGAGGCACATTTCGTGGCGTTGCCGTTAAATATCGATAATTAGGCCGTTCAAGTTTCAGAGGCCGCGGCATTTACCCCACATCCCAGTCCACCCTCTGGTTTATGGATTGTGGTTACACCTTTCGCATTGGACGGCATCGAATTCTGTTCGACATCTATCACATTCTGTGTGAACGAGGCACGTCCAGAGTACGTTTGAGATGTTATGTAATTCTGAATGATTTGCAACTCACGTGTTACAGGGGGAGGGTTCTACGAAGGGACTGGGTTGTTTCATGTCCAGCGAAGTCTCCCATCACACCCACACCCCTTCTGTTCCCTTCCTTGCGCCATCCCCCACTAGTGTTTGCACTAGGCATCATACCGTACTTCATTCGAGTCGTGCGCTTGGTGGTCGCGTACAACCAGTCGTACCGAGCCAAGTTCGCCCGGTTTGTTAAGTGGACGCCAATGATGCGCATCTGGGCAGGCGCGACCATTGGTCTCGTTCTCCGAGCAGTATTTTTCTTCGGCAGCAAGCCAGTTCACTTCTCAAGGTACGGCCAAGTGTTGATGGTCCGAGAGACCGCACGTCAGAAGTAGGTTCCGTGTACTGCTGTAAGATAGGCAATCTGATGAGCAGATTTTGTCCTCGACCGACCCTGGAATCGAGCTGATATGCATCATCACGCGCTGCTCGCAGGCAAGACGGAATGTTTCATTCAGAGAATCGTCAAGACAATATCAGCGAACCCTTTTCGCAAACAATATTTTCCCCCGACAATCGAAAGCAATCCTTCGCTACTCCGCCCTTCCTCGACCGGAAAAATCCAAACGTTCTTGTCTGCCGTCCCCCCGACCCGGCCCTTGTTGCACGCAGCAACGCACACGAGTGCTTCTACTTCGACGACATCCTTCTGATGACGGGAGCCTGCGCGTTCACCGGGGTACCGATACTTCTTATCGCCCGGAGTCTCATACACGTGTTCGACGCGTTTAGGATCCGTCAGGAGATGGAGCGGGCGATCGGAATTTGCATGTCCCTTTCAAGTAAGACGGCCGGTGTATTCTTAGAATGGATACACCCCCTCGCGCAGCAGCCATGGCTAGACCAAAGATATGCCGAACGATGTCGGGACTTGTTGATTGGCGTCGCTTGATTCGAATAGCTTTCCACAAAGGGAATTCCCTTTAGATACGGGCCTGACATTTTCTGTCTTTTGGCAAGATGATGGATGCAGATGCTGTAGATAATGCATATGTACATACATTTCGCAAATGTGAGACGCGGAAGCATGCAAGGGTCCGCGAACCACTCGCACAAAAATATTTTACGTTTAATCGTGAATGTATCGTAACATCGAGTGGTGTGGTTGAGTTTGCTGGATATAATATTGTCGCTTCCAAACTCAGGGGATCCTCAATTTTCTCGACCCATTGGGAACGGGTCAATTCCAAGTAAGTGAGCTGCGCACACCCCATACACTGCAGAAGCTAATGTGGGTCATGTACGGCAGCTGAAGACGCTGTTGCATGTGAACTTTCACGACATTGGGAACTATCATTTACCTACCTTCGAAATAATTGTTCCCAATTCGACGGGTACATCAAAGCCAATGCCAACCCCGAAAACCTGAGACTATGACGCAGTCGGCAGTCCTTGTTTTTTCCGAACGACATTTCATAACGTTCAAATGAGCAGCATATCATTGTCCGCACTTCCTACCTTTGGCGTGCACCGTGGCGAGTAGGTTCCGCACTAGCATTTTGTGTGAGTTCTCGTTGAACCTTCCTGAGGTGTTTATTCAACCGTGATGATGAGAGGAGTGCACTCCTGATGCCAACGGACGTGAGTGTCCCCCAGGGGGTTCTTCTTAACGGTAGTCAGTCTGGACACAGCGCTTTTCGGGGGAGGGAGAGGGGTTGTGGTTGTTCAACTGAGGGCGCTCTTGACCCCGAACTCCACGATACCACGTGTAATCTGATGTACCATCGCAGAACTCCCCCCTACAAAGGACGCCGTCTCAACATGGACATGAAAGCGCACACGAACATCAGTTTTGAACTGCACGGCCCGCCCGATGTGATCCACGAATCTCAATTGCGTCCAAGTAGCACTCAAGTACGGGTTACGAAAGCGTAGAACGAATCTGCGAATGAGGAGTGAAGCGTATTTTTCATCATCTGCCATTTCGTACGTGTGTTCCGGTGAAGATGAAGAAAATCCGTTACAGCTCTAGGAGTTTGCGCAGCAAGCGTGCCTTCGCTGGCCCCCATCGTAATAGAAGCTCGCTGACTAGTCTGATGCGTTGATTTCGGCTTTTATATCGAACACGTGCTTCTCTCGTTCCCCAGTGGTGATCGTCCTCCTGCAGGTGCTGGTGTATTTCGAGGTTCTGGCTGACTCGTCTGAACTGCATTTCGCGGTGGAAGCCATGGCATTTCTGTTCGGGATTCAGGTGTTCACTCACGGGTGAGGCGCACGAACTCGACCACGTGGTTCTCTGCTGTTGCTCTTGGCGTTGTCTTGTCGCACGATCGTCGTTGTGTCTTGTTGACTTTTCCGGCCGAACGCGACTTGCCGATTGCCTACATGCGAGAACGGAGTGGTACGTCCTAGTCCCCAGCAAGCTTCCTGGACAGATGCCGGTGGGTGAGCATGTGTACACAATCAACCACGTGTGTGTATGGTCAAACACACTCTTCGGTTTAGCCAAGTTTGAGCCAGCGAGGGAGCATGCTACCACTATTGTCGATGGCTGGCGAAAGCTCTTGGAACGGCCTCGGTTTCTGCCTCGAGCGTACCACACAGGAATTCGTTCACAGCAGCGCGGCCTTCCGGTCGGCAGATGGCCCTTCGAATACGTCACAAGGAGCAACAAAGTCGATTGTTGATAAGATGCGGAGCATCGCTGTGTGGTCAAGGTCTCTCAAGGCATCCAAGGAAACATGCGATGGAGTGAAACTGCGTTTGGTCTTGCACCTCAGGACAAACGCTGGCACTGCTGAAAACCTGCACACCTCGCCCGAGGGGGCCACTTGGTCGTGGCATTCGCACCGGTTGTTTTGTGCGTTCGAGGGTGAAACGTCTTGACCCGCGGCTGCATGCTGCCGCGCATGGCACCTCGCAACGACTGCTGTATTCCGTGGGCACCTTGGTGTGTCGGGTCCGACAGAGACGAGCAACCGTTCTCACACACCACACCACCACCACCACCGCTCCCGAAGCCCTTCAGCGGATCACCTGGCATTCACGTCCGCCTTTGTGGGATGTCTGAAAACTGGAACAGGGCATGCACGTTGGCGCGAAAATAGGATGGATGGGTAGAAAACCATACTCTTTGTATACATCATTTCAAGGAAGGACATTGTCGATGAAACCTCGGCCCAGTTCATGTGTGGTTGTGGGATCCCAGACGAGGGAGTTGGGTAGTCCAGTGCCCACGCACACTTATGACAAACCCCTGCCCCCCCCCAGCAAATGCTTCCAGCCCCGCGCAAATTGGGACTAAAAGAGTGACCCACTTGTCGCTATGTCTCCGCCATTGTTCCCTGATGATGTGAATCTCTTCGTCATGACGCAGGCTAATGGTACCGTTGTTAGCACACTACAAGGAGTACGGGTGGGTCAAGCCTTCCGTGCTACCTGTCGAGGACGAAACATCGAGCAACGAGGACGTAGACGGCGTGTACGCGCTCGCGGTCAAGGGCGGGGACATGGCCGACCGCTTCGGGCGCTTCGTTCAAGAGAACCTGTGCATGGAGAGCTGGGACTTCATCTTGGACGCCGTGAAATACGAGATGGTCAGTGCTTCGTGTCGGGTTGAGAAAAAAAGTGGAGAGCGGAGTATGTAGCAAGAGTAGCATTGAGAGAGTGAGGTCGCAAAAGGGAGAAATCCTGTGACCCGACAGGCGCACCGTTATGCGAGAAGGCCTACGTGGCCTGGCGTATCGAGCCCTGTGGCTGCCAGGGCGGATTGCCACACGCCCGGTTTTCTCGGCCTTCGTTTTGCTCTACCATGCTGTTGCAAGCGAATCTGCTGACCAAGTTCGCAGGAACTCGAGCCATCTCCCGTTCCGGCCTGCAATCGCTGTTGTCCAGCAATTCTGGTAGAAACGCTCATCCCGCGGGGACGATCGCTGATGGTGCTTAACACTCGATAACGCGGAAACTGCACTACAGAGGAGCCAGAAGTAGGGTTCTTCCGTGACTGAGTCATCGTCGGAGGGGGAAAAAAATCGGGCCGATTCTGTTCGATCTGTTTGGCCTTGTACCGAGACACACGGCTGTTCCGTCACGCCTGCCTTCTTGCGACGGCGTCATCGGCACCGCTGCGTCTATCTCTCTTGTGTGCCTCCAGGAATCATCGTGCGAGCCAGACGACCAGTTCGACGAATTCCTCATCCTCTTGAACCAGTACCTGCTGCCGACCTCACCCGATGAGGTCAACATCTCCAGCAAGATGAGCAAGCGAATGGCGTCCTTCAAAACAAGGTACGACAGCCGTCTTGACAGACTGTTCAATGTCAATTTCTCAGTCGTCGACAGCACTTTGAGCCCGAATAACACTTGACCTGTAGCTCCGCTCTCCCGGTCTGACCCGTAATCGCGCGTGGGGAGTACTGGGGTGGCGAACATGTGCTCTACGCGCCGGGACATTTTTCTGTTCGTTTGGGAGGGGGCAGAATCGAGCATACCAAGTACTGGTATCGTTCGAACGAGCCTGCAGTTTGCGCGCCAAAACCCTTCAGGGCCCCACTACGCAAGCAGTTGGGTTGAATCTGCGCTATAGGATTGAACCAAACGCGTGGACGACAACTCGCTGGAAGCAAATAGCGGCAAAATTGTTCGTCTAGGGTGGCACCGAGAAACAGCACTACTCTCGGCGCTTCGTGTATCATCGGAACGTATCGAACACCGGTTTTCTTTGGCGATGGGAGTGCCCTGGGGGGGAGAGCCGACCGATAATCAGTACGGATCCATGGTGCGACTATCGCTTCACCGCTTGGCGAAAGCCAAAGTGGGTCACACGGTTGGCAGTCGTTGGCGCTTCGAGGCCTCACCATGCGGCCACCACCGTCTGCCTCGACCCATGTGTGGGCAGAAGGACTTGGCCCATGTAGGAACATTTGCTGGTAACGCTGGGTAATGCTGGAGATGAAAGGCTGCGGTCTGCATTTCTTGTACAGCCTGCACCCATGCCTCGATGGGTCCGCTGACCTGCAGCGTCAACTCCTGGTTCTGCCCGCTTACCACTACTGCCTGATGGTTGTTGCCCCGCTCTCGTCGAGACGGCCTTGGAAACCTGCAGAGAAGCCTTTACCCAGCTGGAACAAGAGGAACGGCGAGGCATCCTGAAGGAACCTCTCGACGAGATTGTCCGAATGCTTGAGCAAAACTTGCTCAATAAGTTCCAAAGTCGCATTGCCTTGGAAAGAGGTGTGTTAAGCTGTGGACTCGGGGCTCAACGGTTGTGTCGGTTGAAGCTTTTCATTTTTACAAGTATCTCATGAACGCTGCGGTATCGACTTTGTACCAGTTCAGCAAGCTTCTGTTGAAAGCAAGAAACGCGGTGCGGAAAAGGGTGCTGGTGGCAGAAGTACCTCGAGTACCGTACTGTAATTGTTGTGCGGAGAATGACACCGCGTCACTCTCTAGGCAATGATTCCGGAACATCGTAAGCACACCAATACTCGTGCTGAACGGCGCGACATCGCTCTAACGTCGCTGCCTTCCGCCAACCCCCCCCGAGAACTGCCTGAAGAGCACACTTTAAACCTGTCCCTTACCGCCTGTTGTTCTGACCGTACCATGCCATCCCAATGATGGACACTCACCAGAGGCCAAGCGAGAAGCCCAGCAGGCCGAAGCGAAGGGCGACCCGGCACTGATGGCACTCATGAAAGTGTCTCAAACCGTGCCACGAAGCAAGCCTTCCAGCCAGCCTACGAATCACCGAGCAGCAAGTCCGTTGTCATCGACGGGAGTCGTTTCATCATCGTCGCGGTACCATTTGGGATGAAACAGGAAGGGTGTGGGCAATGATTCGATGGCGTCAACGAACAGAAAAGCAGCCACCCGGTTATCGGTTGCTGCAATGAAAGCTATTTGGTCGAGTGATTCATTCGTGGTTCGACGCACGCTTCAGCGCAGACACTGTGGAGTCTGCAGCATGCTGGGCCCTGAGTAGAACCCCGTTCTGTTTCTTCAGACGAGTTGGATCCACCCAATGCCTTATTTCATGTTTTGCCGACGCTTATCGCTGTAGAAGAGAAATGGAGAGGAGGACATTGACCTTTGGTAATGTACGCCGCTGGCGGAAGGACGCGTGCTGATGGAAATGCAACAATAGCCTTGAAGGAGAAATGTCTAGGAAGAAAATGTAGTTGCTGCGTAGGGCGTATGGTCTCTTTACTGTGTTTCCAGGTACGATTTTTTTCTTACTCATGTGAAGGGATAGGATGTTGCTGACGGAATCAAAAGCACATTGTGATCCGGCGCATGGACCCATGCGGTTTAAGATATTATGTTCTCAACTCTTTGTCATCGATCGATGTCTTTGAAGTTCAATCATGACGCACTGTTTTTTGTGTGCTGGATGTGCACGGTGCCCCTCCAGTGTATTCGTTCTACACAGCACAGCGTTGGTAAACTTAAATGTTGCGTTGGCTTTGGTTTGTGGAAGATGTGCCACGCAGACAGTGGGTGTATCAGGTTTAATGGACGGTGCTAGGTGGAGGCACACCTCTCTGTAGGCTAGAGTCATGTGTTGTGGAAGCTTGAGAGATACCACAGTCAAGTGTAGCTCATGTTCGGTTTCGTTCCAAAGTCTAGACTAGTGCTCTTAATAGTATCTCCGCTCTTCTTCTGGCCTTGATGAGTTATTCTGAGGCTTTCATAGGAGAGACAAACATGGTTCACGGGGGGTAGACACGCGTCCGTCTGCACTGTAGAGGGCAGTGCAGCGGGTATAGACATTGCAAACCACCGGCAGAACTGATAGGGAGCGAGTCCAGAACGTTGATGGACTTCTATTGTGGACGGGATGCCTCGGAAAAACTCCAAAACATTGGTCTTGCGGCTAAGTTTGTTGTGTGTAGGTAGAACTGGCAAAGTATATTGAGTGCGGCGGTGCAGCCGCGGCAGGCGGTGTTACGATGGCCGTTTCACTTACCAACACATGAGCGGGAGCAGCAACATAAATATGTACCGCTCACGTAGACAAACCTTGCAGCATCAGTGGTGGCTCTGGCAGTGCGCCCATGTACAGTAGACATCTTTACATGATGTCTACAAGTTCCTTGTCGATCTCATGGTCACCGATAGACTAGACGTATGAGAAGCTATTGTAGGAAGGAAGTGAAGACACACAGGAAATCTGTTGGTAAACTCGTGGCTCTTAGAGAGAAGGTTGTTGGATAGTTGAGACTTGGTCTTATTAGTTGGTTTGGGATGGGAGTGGGCAAGGTGAGGGCGTGCAGCACCCCTATCTGCCCGATTGCAATACCCCGACAACCCGATCGCGAATCACATCACACTATCCCGATTCCCCGATCACGGGTAGTTGTACTCTTCCTACGAGCCACAAATACATCGGAGGAAAGCACAAACCACCAACACATTGCCCGACAGATACTTCTACGAATGTTCCACAGCGGAACCTGCAGAACTGGAGTAACCTTCCAACGACAGTCCCGCTAGTCAGTCGTCCAATCAGATATACCCCGCCATTGAGTCGATACACGTGCCGCTACCACGAACACCCTCCCTAGGGGCTGTTGTATCGACGACCTCCGACTTCTCCTTCTCGCTCAAGCCAAGCACAATGTCACGGTTAACTTCGAAAAGCGCTCGCGGCAAAGCTTTCGTCAGAATGTCTGCATGTTGCTCCTTACTGCTAACATGCGAGATCTTGATCCTACCCTCCTCGGTCAAGCTCCGGAGAAAGTGGTGCCTTACGTCGATGTGCTTACTTATCCCCGAGCTAAGCGGATTATCAGCAAGCGCAATCGCCCCCTCGTTGTCCTCTAGTACCTTAATCTCACGAGACTTCTCACTAGGCCTCAAGAACTGAAGCATTCCGTCTACAAACAGAGCCTCCTTTAGACTACACCATTACCCATCGCTAGGTACTCTGCTTCCGAAGTCGACTGAGCGACGCATTTCTGCGTCCTGGAAGTCCAAACGACAAGCATTCCGGCCACAAAAACCAACGCTCCAGAAACGGATCTACGGTCAGTGGCCTTGCTGGCAAAGTCGGCATCTACGTACACCAAAGTCCCTACGTCTACCGAACTATCCCGCTTGAAGTTTAAACTAAGATGTGCCGTGCCCAGAAGATAATTCAGGACCTTCGGAGCTGCCTTCCAGTGGCTTAACTTCGGCTCGTGGGAGTGTCTTGCCACAGCCCGCACAGCATTAGAGATGTCGGGTCTCGTCTGGCTGGCGATCCACATTAGGCATCCCACCACCTCACGGAACGGCACATCTCCCGCCTCCTCATTCTCCATCACGGACCTGTTGACAACAGGAAGCGGGGATCGACCTGGTGCGAACGACATTGAATCTCTCGAGGACACTCCTTATGTAACTCTCTTGAGAAATNTAACAGTGGGGGACGCGGGGATCGAGCTGGTGCGAACGACATTGAATCTCTCGAGGACACTCCTTATGTAACTCTCTTGAGAAATCTCAATCGTGCCAGCCTCACGGTCGCGCC